CCTCCCTCTTTTTTCCTTTCTTCCATCCTCCATTCCGCTTTCCTTCCTTCCACCCCTCTTTTTCCCTTTCTTCCTTCCCTCTTTCTCCCTCCCTCTCTCCTTCCTGTCTTTCTTTCTTGCCCCCTGCCTTCTTCCTTCCTTTTTCTTCTTCTCCCTCCCATCCTCCCCCTCCTTTCTTCCCTCCTCCCTCCCTTTTTCCTTTCTTCCCTCCTCCTTTTCCTCCTTCCTTCCTTCCTTCCTATCTTCTCTCCATCTTCCCTCCCTCCCTACAAATAACTTTGTGAAAACCAGCCTTTAGAAGACCTGAGTTTTATTTTCATTCATTCTCACATCTGAAGGTAAAACAAGCAGCGGAACTCCCGGGCTTCCTTCCAGGGGCTATAAATACAATAATTACGCGATTTGCAGACCAACAATTCCTCCCTCAGCCTCCTTATGTCTCTCTCTCTCTCTCCTCTAGGCCAAACAGACATTCGCACGTTATGTTCGCACCACGGATCCTTCGACCTCTCTCGTTGCCTGTGCGAATGTGAGTCGGGTTGGGGCGGTCCCACCTGCGCTGAGCCGGTCTGCTCCGGAGACTGCGGTGGCTCAGAGCGCGGCAGATGCGTCAATGGGCACTGCCAATGCCAGCCTGGCTACTCGGGGGTCAGCTGCGAAGAGCCGCCCCCTTGCCCCGATGACTGCAATGACCAAGGGCGCTGTGTGGATGGCCGCTGCATCTGCTTCCCAGGATACGTGGGCCCCTCCTGCTCTGACCCAGTTTGTCCTCAGAACTGCTACGGACATGGCCAATGCGTCTCAGGACGGTGCGTGTGCAACCCGGGTTACAGTGGTGTGGATTGCGCAACCCGAGCGTGCCCTAGCAACTGCAACAGGCGTGGAGAATGTCGTAATGGACGCTGCGTGTGCGAGCCGGGCTTCATCGGGCCGGCCTGTGGCACCAAGACTTGTCCCAATGATTGTAACCAGAGAGGCCACTGTCTGCAGGGAGGGGTGTGTTCCTGCCACCCAGACTACACTGGCGTGGACTGCGGTCAGCTGGCGTGTCCGGAGCACTGCAGTGGCCACGGAGAATGTCAGAATGGAACGTGCCTGTGCGACAGTGGCTATGCGGGCGATGACTGTTCAGTAGGTAGGCACAAAGGTTTAAAACAATCAATCAGAATAGAGCTGGAAGGGACATTGGAGGTCTTCTAGTCCAGCCCCTTGCTCAAGCAGGAGACCTTATACCATTTCAGCAGGGACGTGCAGTCAGGGAAGGCAGAGCCTCACCACTGTCATCATGAAAAGAAAAAAAATGTAAAAGGAAAAAGGCAAAAGCT